CCTGCCCTTCGTCCACCACGACCTGGCGGCCCTGGAGGCGGCCGTGCGCGTCGGCGCCGTGGGCCCGGACTCGGACCCCGTGCTCATCATCGGCGCGGGGCTGTCGGCCGCCGACGCCGTGCTGCTGGCGCGCCACTACAGCGTGCCCGTGCTGCACGCCTTCCGGCGGCCCGTGGACGACCCCGCGCTGGTGTTCAACCAGCTGCCCAAGATGCTGTACCCCGAGTACCACAAGGTGCACCAGATGATGCGGGAGCAGGCGGGGCCCTCGCCCAGCCCCTACGCCGGCTACCGCAGCCTCCCCGAGCACCGGGTGCTGCTCTTCAAGGCGCAGCGCCAGGCCGTGCTCCGCGACCCGCGCGGCGGCCAGGCCGTGCTCGGCGTCTCGCTCGTGCTGGTGCTCATCGGCTCGCACCCCGACCTCTCCTTCCTGCCCGGCGCCGGCGCCGCCCTGGCTGTGGAGCCCGCGCAGCCGCTCAGCGCCCGGAGGAACCCGGTCGACGTGGACCCGTTCACCTACCAGAGCGCGCGGCAGGAGGGCCTGTACGCCGTGGGCCCGCTGGCCGGGGACAACTTCGTGCGCTTCGTGCAGGGCGGGGCGCTGGCCGCGGCCAGCTCCCTGCAGAAAAAGGAGGCGGGGCGGCCGCCCTAGCGCCGGCCCTCGGCTCGCAGCAGCCAGGCCCTGAAGAGGCGGGCGGTCAGCGCGGCCCGAGCGGGAGCCCCGGAGCGGCAAGCCGGCCTCTGCCCGCAGGAGGCGGCAGGGGCCGTGAGCCCAGGCGACCGGCCTTCCGGGTCAGAAGCAGTGGGGAACTCACCCTGCCCCGGCTTAGCCCACGGCGGGAGCGAGGCCACAGCTGGGCCACACCTGGGACGTGGGCGGGAGGCTGCCAGCAAGAGCGGGGGTCGCCAGGGGCCAGCAGGGCACCCAGCCACGAGGACTCCGGGCCCCAAATAAAACCAGTGCCTGCCTCCACTCCTGAGGACTGTGCTTGGCGAGGCGGCTGGGTGCACAGCCCTGGGCGCAGGGGAGGGGGTGGGGTCCTGGAGGAGCTGTAGGGGAGGGGGTGACAGGGGACGGGGCCCTAATGTGGGGGCAGTTGATTGGGCAGCTGGCTGGAGCCGCCTCTCCCCTCCCACCCTGTTCCAGCCGCACTGTCTGCTTTCAGGCCCTTCCTGTGGGCCCCAGGGCCTTTGCACAGCCCCTTGAGCTCCTGCCTTCCGCTCTCCCAGCGTAAGGATCACTCCCTCTAGGGTTGAGCTCTTGCTGCTCACTCATCGGCGGCATCATTTCAGGGGCCGCCTCTGCCCACGTGGTTGGGAACAGTCCGTGTCTCCGTGTCTTTCTTGCCTGGCACCAAGCAGGAAGCCTTCGCCCGCTGGGTTCTTCGGCACCAGCCCCTCAGGGGTGGGGTCCCTTCTCCGGCCAGGGGCCACTTGGCTATGTATAACCTCAGGTTAGCCTGCTGTAGCCGCAATTGCAAATCCCACCTGCACTTGCCACGCTTGATGTCTGTGGCCGTGGGGCGGGCGCTCCCCACTTCCGCTACAGACGATGGGCAGGAGGGGAGGGCGCTCACAGGCGTGGGGGGGGCAGGTGCACGAGTGGGTGGGTAGTGAAGAGTGTGGGCGCGTGGAGTGGCAGGGAAAGGTGCTCTGGGCGCCCAGAATGGAAAGGGAGGTCCGAGGGGGCGGCAGCCGGGCCAAGGGGATGGTGGCTGCCCCCCCCCCCAGCGGCGCGGAGCAGCAGGCGCAGGGCGCGGGCCCCTGGAGCTGCAGCCAGCAGAGGGCGCTCCGGCCCCTGCAACGGCGCCACGAGTGGGAGGAGGGACTTTGGGGGGTAGCAGGAGACTTTCAGGAGGTAGCCCCCGGGGAGCACCCCGCCCCCCAAAACCTACCCCGGCGCTGCGGGAAACCCCTCCCACCTCCGGGCCCGCTGGGGTCACCAGGCCGCGCCCCGTCCCCGGCCGGCAGCCCCCCCCCGAGGCCGCGCCCGGCTGGCGCGGGTGGGGGCGGCGGAGCCGGGCACGTGGCTCGGGGTCCGGGCCCCCCCTCCCCCGCGCCCGGCCCCGCGGTGTCCGCGGCCTCGGGGACGGAGAAGCGGGGCGGGGCGGCGCGGGGAGGGGGTCGTGC